AACTATATCCTCTTCACAGGAGAACTGCTTGAACCTGCCGCTCGGTGTGTGTGTGGGTTCTGCCACGTGGCTGATTTATGTACACGGGTCATATCAATTAGTCGAGAGCTTATAGGGGACGTTGGCGTTGGGAAAAAAGAAACTCAAACCCGAGATTGATGAGTGCCATTTAATCTAGGTATTAATTTCGTCATGACTGTCAGCCGAATCACTTTTTACTGGGCAGTTGTTTTATGGTAAATAACAGTGCTTGGATTTATTATGATGATAAAAAAAAAAAGAGTTGTCTGCCCTCGACGGGCATTCACATTCACCGTAAACCAAAGACACCGATTTTCAGTCTCCGCATCGCCTCATTTATCAGGAAAAAAACAACACAATTTAGTACTTGAAAATTGTTGTGATTTAATTACAAATAAGTGAAGGGGAAGGACTCGAGGACCCTTTCAGGTCCCTGCGGTGAAGCTAGTGAAGGTTCTACTGTGTCTGTAGTTCACTTAACAAGGAAGTTAAATTAAATCCTGCCAAGGCTTTTGGTCTATTTAATTAAAGCTGCAGCAACTTAGTGGGATTGAATTAAATTTTTGGCAGGGGTAAACCAATATGCTGGGAAGGTGGTGGTGGTGGAGTGAGCTGGGCTTTAGTCAACTATTCCTGAAAGATAAGCAGGATACACATCTGTTTTTGTACCGTCATTGACCAAATATATCCTTTTCAAAAGCCAGAATGTTTTTTTGGTCCCCAGTCACATTCTATTTAGATAATAATATCAACGTTTGCCAATTGTCTTCTGGAACCAACAAACAAATGAAAAAAAAAAAAAAGGATTTTCCAATTTAGGTTTGTCTGCTCTGCTCGTTAGAGTTCAGTCTCTCGGTTGAGGTTAATCCGCATGCGAAAGGTCTAGATTAGACGGGTCCGGCGCTCTTTCAGGGCTCGGGGTCAGGGATAACACAACAACATCTAGGGACGGCGGGCCATTTTATTTTCCTCACTCTTTATCCAGCTGCCGATGCCAACTGGGTACCTTCACTGTGAGCCCTTTAGGGCTAAAGGTGAAATAATTCCATCCCAGAGCGGCCATATTGAATGGACTTGAATTAAGGCTAAATAATCCAACAGATAGGAATAGTGATTTCACTACAACTCATTGCTCAATTTAAGTTTGCACTGAAGGTAATGGGGATAATGCTGATTATTTGTTTTAAATTATAATTGAATATCCATTGAATATGGTAAATCATTGTCAGAAGACCTCAAACACATCTAGAGTTAGAGGTTTCTTTTTATTTAAAGCAACCAATCAATTCAACCTTATTTCTGAATTGATTGCATGAGGCTAGATCTTCACAGCAAACTAATATGGCCTGGCATTTATTTACAAAATACTAGACTGATTGATAACAAAATAATCTTTGCAGTAAGATTTAAATTGTATTCAAGAAGAAGACTAAAATGTTCATCTTTTGAACTCTGGGGGGCAGTGTTGATGCAACGACACATTTCACCACTCTTTATACTGAGCAAAACATTCAAATATTAGTTACTTTTTAATTTATGATGGTGGTCCTGTCAGTCATTGATTTTATACAAATTATGTACATTAAATGTAAAATGTTTACATATGTTCATATTATATCTGTTTATATTGTTGCATTCAATATAAATGCATGGTTGGTATTCAAACATATGCATTTAGTTCAGGCTTTAAAAATAAATTATGAATAATCTAATTAATTTCAAAGTTTTCAGTAAAAAATTGTTTTAACTTTGATACATATATTTCATTATATATTATATATTTCAAACTGCAATATTTCATTGCAGTTTCTTTCATGCGTGTTTCTTGTATTTATAAATGTATAAAACACATTTATACAAAGAACATGTATGACAGAAACTAAATTATATATTTAGAACTTGAATGAAAAAATAATATTACTGCCATACAAAAGGTGCGGTGAATACAATCGGCCATTTTGAAATAACAGTTTTGAAAGAAAAAATGTATTACTACACTAAAGAACTGTTTTCATTGTAATAATTATCACAAGCATCTCTGCTATTAATTTTGTAAAAACTGTTTGGGTGGTACAAACATAATAATGAGTTCATGTGTCTGATTGTATCTAGATATATATACTAGTTGCTGTGAGAGGATAATAGCAAAAATGTAATGGGCAAAACAACAGAAATAATCATAAAAATAAAAAAGTAATTAATGCTTTGAATTCAGTAGACCATATGCAAAATCTGAACAAAAGATATTTTAATTTTTAAGAAACTATTATTCCATACGAAACTCATATCATGTCGCTGTTCAGGTGTTCTTTAAATTAAAATGATTATCAATATTCATATTATTATTTGTTTAAGCATAGACACAAAACAAAGAAAATAATCCCATGGGATTTTTTAATTACACTTACACAATAAATAATTTTCCACAAACATCGTACCGCATTACCGCGGCTTTTTAGCTTCGCTTCATAGCATCTGCCTGGTCAAATAATCATGTCTCCAGTCATGGTAATAATAATAGTAATAGCAGACTGCATGCTAAAATCTAATTCTCCTCGATGCAGCTTGAGTGCATTATTAGTGAGGGGGGGCGGCTGTATTTCGAGGTATGTTCTGTGTTTAGCGTATAGTCTGGTGGGATCGCTCTCACTGTAAAGCTGTGTAAAGGAACATTAAAAGTACAGTATACTGAATGCTGTATATCAGAGAAACAGAGGAGCATGAGAGCATTTATATCTATATTGTATTACCATGCAGCCATTATAGCATGGCGTGGCAGAACGATCTCTGTGGGCAGTATTAATATAATTTCTTCAACATTTTTTCCCTCTCTTCTGGCTCAAGTCGATGTTGAGTCTGTATGGGACTCATTACAGTGCAGGGTGGGGGTGAGGGTGGGGGGGGGGTGGTGGTGAAAGGGGCTTTTCTCAGCGCCTCGCCGTTTGGTTCCATCTGTGTTGTAGTCACCTGAACACGATCTGACCTCAGCCAGTCAAGTGACCTGGAATCAATACAGTCAAACTCAGTGGAGGCACATAAATCGGCCCGGCTGATTTAACCCGTGAGTGAGTCCCGCTGCAGACGTAATGAGAACAAACCATTTATTCTGGATTCTTCTTCTCTCTCATTCGGCTCTACTAGCTCCATACTTCTCGTGGCCTATCTCTCCGGGCAAGTAAACCCATTTCTGCAATTCGTCATGAACACATCTGAAAGGCAGCTTTTGTTTTTCGGTCCGCCTCAAGGTGTTCTTTACTTTCTTTGTACAAAAAGCTATTTGGCATTTTTGTGTACATTGGGATTTTTTTTTTTTTTTTAATCTCTGTATTTCAAACAAAGCCCGTCTGCAGCTGCTTCAGTGACATCTGTCTCCATGCCTGTCATATGAAAACCAGCCTGTGTTTTATTATTCACCCAGCGGAACTCTGTGAAGATACTGGAATTTAACTACCAGCTTCTGCGGCAGGACTTTTTCTAAAATATGACTTGCAGGATGCACCATAAATTCATGTGTTGTTTTGCGCCAGCCTTGGACGTTGGAACAGTAGAAAACACATAAAAGTTGAATGTGTTATGACTACTAATATGCATATTTACTTGCAATTGCATTCTTATTGACTGTTGGGAAACGGTTGACAGCAATGTGGCTCCAGACTCCAACCTAAATCAACATAATGCAAACGCAACTAAATTCAAATAATTTTTGGGGATTAATTGTGACATGCCCCGCCATTTTTTTGAGCCAACATCACATCAACTGATTAAGGTTTTACGATGATTTGTGAATAAGGAAGCAGAGTTCAGCATTCTGGAGGAAGTGATCTTTCACTTTGATTCCGTTGCCCTGTTATAAGAGAATAACTGCTGTTTAGGTTGACAGGCCTGTTCGGTCACATGACGCGACGATTAGCTGCTCTGCGTTTTAGCTGCGAGAGAGAACTATTATTAAGAGATAAATATATTGTTAAAGTACCTCCGACTTGAGCCATCAAATTATCAAGAGATTCACATTATGCAAATATTAAACGTTGTTTACTGTGTAAAAACAGATCAATACTTCCATAATTGGTTACGCATTTACTGTTAGCCTTCAATTCATTTTCATGTCATCAATAGAACATCTCTCGGGTATAAACCTTTAATGGACCACTCAAGTTACGGCACACAGACATTTTTTATTTTGCATCCAGCCAAGTCATTAAATTGACTGAACAATTCCTTTGAATCACTGAAGGGCTGTTTTGAATTGAGTAGATGCACAACTACTATCATATATCTGTATATTCCACTCGAATACCAGACTGCAGTGTTTTATCAGACTGCACTCTTTTACAGCAGTCGATTGCTATAACTGTGAACAGTTGTTGTAATGGCCTTCAGATGACAGCCTTCAGTAAAAAAACTGCCTAGCTGTGTGAAGTAGAAAAAGGTCTACGAGCTAAAGCGAAAGAAAAAAAAGTGATTTATAAATTTTACACCTATTATGTTTCTATGCGTCAGTACACAGTGACAAATGAAAATGTATTATTCTGATTTACATATGGCATAAATCATAGAGTGCATAGTTAGAATTCACGAACAAAACCAATTAAGGTTTAATTCATGATGTGGGCAAAAAAGCAGACCGTAATGTAAATCATTCTAATAGGGGCCTTAATCAAGAATCAAAACATACTTTCCACAATTAATTCATACAAAAATAAAAAAATAAAAAGGAAAATAAAAATAAAATGGATCAATACGTATTATGTAGAAAAGCTAACCATACTGGTATTTTATCAAAGTTTAAAATGCAAAATACAAAACATGGCTATTTACACCCTACTACTTTTAACTACACACTCCACTCAAACACAAATTGCCATGAGGTCTGAGTAAAAAGCGTGCTGCGAAACTGTAAAGTGGCCACAAAACTAAACAATAACGTTGCATATCGGAGGCAACATGCAGGCTGAGAGACTAAACTAAGCTAAACTTACTTTAATTGCTCTGCCGTCCTCGTCACCTGTTGTTGCAGCGGCACAAGTCCTTTCAGAGCACAGGGGAACTTTGCCTCGAACCCCCGCGGACACGTCGGAGCTTTGTCTCACCAAAGAATAACCAGTAGTTCCATTTCGAGTGTTTTCGGGGGTCCACCCGTTATAAATGCCCCACACGGTCCCCCAAAACACTTAATTATCGCTAGGTGAAGCAGTGCGGACCGTCCTATTGATGATTGACAGCGGGGTGACGTGAAGTGACATCGAAGGGGGGGGTTCAAGGGTTCTCTTGTCGAGAGGCTACACCGACTATTCAAATATCTCAACCGCTTCGTCGCTACTAATACACATAACACCATTGTGTGTATTTTACAGAAGACTCGTCGGGTGAACGTTGTGCAAAAACGCGTGGCTTATTATTCACGTCGCTCGGTGCTCCCCCCCGTCTGCGCCTCTTTTGGTTTCGTCCAAAGTTGGTCGGGATTTGAGTTGGTTCGCTCTGCTATCCGGGCTCGCTCTGTGAGAGGTGAAGGGACCGCCTGTCCCCATCTCTGCCTGTGCTGTCAAATGGCTTTCGGGACGCATTTTATTTGAAATGCCTGGACAATATAAGTGACCAATGATGGATATTCTATGGATATTATGGACCATACCTGCCGTAATAGCTGTCGAAGGTAAGCCAACGTCTCCATCCCAAGCCGCATCTTGCCAGCGTTGATTGGGAGACAAAGCGCGTTAAAGACATTTAACCACATTCGCGCAGTCGGATCACTTTAAACGCAGAACGCTAACGAGGAATGAGCCACTTTCCGTCCGCGTTAATAGGCATTCATGTGTTATTACATTGCCTTCATGATGCTCAGAGTCCGCCGCCGGGGGACGATGGAAAGGGGGGGGGGGGGGGCAAAACCATGCTCCCGCATCCCCGCAGGTACGCGGATGCTTTTGCACGTTATTGGCGTTAATTGAGGGGGGAGGGGTGGAGGGTGCAATTTGCAAAAAGCAGGTTATAAAATGTTCATTATGTCCCGTGTGTCCGTGGAGGCGTGTCACCGGGTTTCTAAGATAACGTGGACCCCCCCACCCCCCCCTCAGCCTCCTGGCCCCCTGTCCGAGACTAAATTTGCATTACATGCGTTTACAGTTTAACTGACCGTGCCCCCCCCCCTCCCCTCCTGTCCCCCTCCCTCAGTGTTCGACAGGCGGCGCAATGAAACAGGTTGAATGTTGAAAAATGATCTTTGTGTTCGTCTGTGATGCTCAAAAGTAGTTCTTCCTCCGCACTTATTTTTTTTTTATAGTGCTCAAATACATACACGGGACCTGTAGTACAGCTTTTATACGCACATTTACTCTGTAACCAAACATGTATTTGCAAATGACAAAAGCTGCGTTAGTTTTAATTTATGCAGGTGATTTTTTTTTTTTGCTTTAGTGGCTTCACTTCACCGTGTGAAACGATACGTTGGCCACAATGAAGCGGGGAAAGTGACATTTTTCCAGGCTATTTTTAACGATGCTGCCAGAACACAAACACGTCCTCCTCCTCTGGGCACTTGACCTAAACCTCATAATTACAGGTGGAGCCGAGGAGGAACTATGTCCGATCTCAGCTATACGCGACGACCGGCAGGAAGAGAAAAAGCGCTTTTACCGTAAACTCATTTGTTTGGCGCAGCAGAGACCCGCGGGGCCCGGTGGAGGACCGGCGCACGCTTTTGGCGCACGTATTTCTGCAGACCTCCAGCGGCCGCGGCTGTTTTCGGTTACATGTTTACGGTTACATCCTGTGCGATGAAACGTGAGTCGTGGCTTCCAAACGTGTGCTTCCACATTTTACTCCGTTTTTTTTTTTATCACCACACGTTGATCCGGGACACACTTATTATTCTAGGGGAATCATATGTGCAATCCAGGCTTAGCAATAAAACGAGACCGAACAAATACAGGCGCCGTTGTGCAACACATATTTCATAGCATCCATGGATTGTGTTTCTTATTTGGACGTATTGAAAATATATTGCTTTTGGTTTTTCTATTAAAAAACATTTTCCGAGCATAATAAAACAAATCAGATGTGTCAGTAAAGCTGAAGCTTTTTAAATAATACATCAAATATAAATATATCCATGGATGCATATTAGATTTACATCAAATGTCACCATTCAAGAATGATTGTGACTATGATTTATTTTCTTTTAATTACTGATATCAGGACTTGATGATTGCCAGTGTAATGGTCAGGCCTGTTTATTTTCTCAAATGTATTCTCGCCGTATCGGCCAAAAACCGCAGGATGTGAAAAATGCCAAAAACAGCAACAGATTGACGCTTACGTCGCGATTCACTTCCCCGTGTTTATTGCTTCTCTTCTCTGGACACAGTTTCTGTTTGTCCACATGGTAAAATGGTGAGTAAGCCGAGAGGCCGCGGTGAGGCCCCCCCCCCCCCCCCGGGACCAATCGGCACAGTTCTTCCATTACTTGCTTCGCTCGTATTGAAGAACACTTCGATTCGGGGGCTCTCGACGATTAGCGTCACTGTTTTAATGTACAATAGGCGGTGCCTGCGGTGTCTCGCAGGCCTGTGGTGGCTTACATTTCGCTTGGTAAAAAGCAGCCCGTTCCGACGCCGACCGACCGACCGGCCGCGGGCCCCCAGCCCTCCCCCCCCCCGCCCTCCCACCTCCATTTTAGCCTGTGAGTCGCCCTGGCCGACTGTCCAATGAAGTTGGAGAGGACGGCTTACGTACGAGAAATGAAAGAGTTGAGAAAGAGGTCACTGCGCCCATAATCCTACAAAAAAAAGAAAACTCCCAGCATGCAACAGAAAGAAGAAGCGCCGAGTGGATCGTTTTGACACATTTAGTGCCGGGGCGCTACATTTTCTCCATTGTTGTTTCTGTTTAATAGACAGTGACGTCTTTGTGTGCTGACGGGAGAACGTTACTTGCTAAATTACTCTCGATATCTACAAGGTCCATAAAGGTCTGGTGAACATTAACTATCTACTATGCATTGAGCGGGACGCTAACGAAACCGCTAACGGATGAAAGGACGACAACTTGTTGTACAAATAATCAATAAATTGGGTCGGGGGGCCCCACCGGAGGGGATTAGAGGATTACAACACAGTGGGGGGGCGGGGGGGGGTCAGAATCAAGAATCGGTGTCCCAAGCATGCGTTTCTCTGCGAATAGCATCAACACTGCACACCGCGTGAAGCTCTCTCTCTCTCTCTCGCTCGCTCTCTCTGGCAGCCATGTTGGACCGCTAGAAATGCCGCTCGCTCATCAGCGGCGTTCTGCCGTTTTTTTCAAAAGGGACGTTCTGTTTGCGCCGCGGAATGTGAAGCAAGTCTAGATTGCCGATTAGTGTTAACGTAATCTGCCACCGATGCCACTGCTTATTGGTTTAGTGAACAGCAAACAGACAGACAGGCTCTTTTCCCCCACCGAATTGCGGCGGCGCTGCCGGGGGACGTTAGCGTAGCTATGTCAAACATGTCCATGAAAACACACCGTGGATTTATCCCCTCGTCAGTCCCCCCGTTCGTTGTCATCGGCAAATTCTAGTAGCCCGTTTTGTTGGGGTGAGATCAAATTTACCGTACGGATCATTTGCCCCCCCCCCCCCCCCCGTATTACCCCTTTTTTCGGGAGGATCGGCGTTGCCACGATGAGATAACAATCTCCTCCAGACTCGCAAGTTGTCGTTGGTGTCGCCAGGACGATGAAAGGACGTTGAAACCCCTTTTTTTGGTTTCCCCTCTCTCTCCTTTTTCATTTGAGGGAAGCATAAAGGGGCAGAATCCCCAGCGGATGATGTCGTAGTGGGGGGGGGGGGTGGAATGAGATCACAGCGTGGAGCCCTCCAAAAATGTCTGGCAGATTTGATTGCATTTCAATGTGCGCCTGCATTCCTTCAGTGCTGCGCTCGGCTTAAAGTTGGGCAACACTCGCCAAGTTGTTTGTTTGTGTTAATAAAAAATATAATGATTAATTTAGAAGAATACATATTACTTGTTTGTATTCTTGCATATTCACCTCAGTGCTGTCTCTTGTTTTTTTGGTCCATCACAAAAACACAGTGGGATTGTTATTGTTTGGAAAATCCCGCCGAGTTTGGTCGGTGATGCTTTTCATATTTAAATCATATTTGAGTTGTTTTTTAGTAAAGAACCGACTTGAGAGTGCGACGTGGAAGCGCTGCGTTTGGCGGAGGCGTAACAAAAGACGGACGGAGGTGGGCTCCGAAATAGGATTAGATTTTCTTTTTTTTAAAAAGAAGGTAAAAAAAACAAAAAACGAGCGACCGCTCAACAACCCAGCGCGTCCTCCGTCCGCCCAATGAGCAGATGCGGGGAGCCGGCCTGCACGCCAACCGCCGCAGTGGGCTTTCACAAAGAATCCGTCTCTATTCAAGCCTTAATCCATGCTGCCGAGGGCCCGGGCATTGTCACTTTGCATGCAAAATTTCAATTAGTGCTGGTACCAGTTGTTTCACTTGGGCGGCGGCGGTGGGGTCTCACATTTCGGGGGACGTCAGCGGCCACCTTTTTGGGTTTGAGATTAAGGCAGAAGTGTCACCGCCTGGCCGGAGACCGCGTGAGGTCACCGGCTCCGCCGCGGGCCACTGTGCGCATTAGGCCTCGCCCCGCGGAGACGTCACTGGAGCTCTGATTAAGCTAAGCAGGAAGAACAAAAAAAAAAGAAAAAGGAATGCTTTTCATTAAGACCTTCACATGTGGGATTTCATTGTCGCGGGTTTCGCGTCCCGGCTCCGAAGGGCAAAGTAGTTGCACATGTTGCCGCTGGCTTCCAGCTCGCTCCACCAATTTATTAACCAAGGCCTCGGCCGAGGACGCGATGGGAGTGTTCAACGCTGTTTCCATGCTTTCGGCTGTTTGACTGCCGCGGTTCTCTCCCGTCTCGAGCCAACTCTTCATTTGTTTCCGACCCGCACATACTTGCCCTCTGGTGCTGAAGCAGTGGCAAAAAAGAGGCTCAAGAAATTCAAAAGTGGATTCAAAACGCTATTTAAGTAGTGCTGTAACGAAGCGTCAGGGGGTTCGCCCGTGCGGCCCTGAAGGGCTTTTGACGAGTACGCGCCGGTACTTTAAGAACGCTCTGCATTACACGCAGTCACGGAAATACCGTTTATCAGCGCGTTCGTGCTACACAAGCGCTACCATTCACGC